GCTCCCTTCTCCTTGTTTTCAATTCTATTTTCTGTTTCAATTCTATCTTCCTCTTCATTTCCCATGCTTACAGGAGCCTCTCATCTAAGAGATACCTAATTTTAAAAAAGATTAAAATAGGGGCTAGAGTGACAGTACAGTGGGGAGGGCATTTGCCTTGCATGCGGCTGACCCAGGTCCAATCCATAGTATCTCATATGGTCCCAGAGCACTGCCAGGAGTAATTCCTGAGTGCAGAGGCAGGAGTAACTCCTGAGGACCAACAGATGTGACCCAAATAGCCAACTTTAATAAAAATTAAAGCAGGTTCTGTCCCTTCCCACTAAAATCTGAACGTCTGAAGATTAAGTTTAAAGATTTTTGTTTTGGTGCCACATCCAGTGGTGCCAAGAGTATAAACTCCTAGTTCAGTGTTCAGGGAGTTGCCAACTCCCCACAGGTCTTGGGAATACCATATGTCAGTCATCAAACATGAGCCTACTGCATGCACAGTATGCGCTCAGCCCTTGAACTACTGCTCTGACCTAGAAACTTCATATTTAAGGAGGAGGGGTATGGGCTACACCCAGTGGTACTTAGGGGCTTACTTCTGGCTCTGTGCTCAGGGATTATTCCTGGTTGAGTTTTGGGGGAACCATATGTGGTGCCGCAGATCAAACTGGGGTTGGCTGCCTGGAAAACAAGCAACTAACCTGCTGTACTATCTCTCTAGTCAAGAAATTTCACTTTTAATAAAAAGCATCACCATCTTTCTCTCCCACCCTTCTTTTCAGAAATAAATCTGACTTCTAATAAGGCACCCCAGCTATGCTACACCTTCCACTTGAATCTGCAATGTTCAAAAATATCTAGGAATTTTTGTAAAATTACTACTTTTGGATCTAGCTTGATTAATTGGTCATTAATTCATCTGACTGGTACTTTTTTTTTTTGCTTTTTGGGTCACATCCAACAATGCTCAGGGGTTACTCCTGGCTCTGTACTCAGAAATTACTCCCAGCAGTGCTTGGGGGACCAGATGGGATGCTGGGGATCGAACCCAGGTCGGCTGCATGCAAGACAAAACGCCCTATCTGCTGTACTATCGCTCCAGGCCCCTGATTGGTACTTGTTAACTTTGAAATCCCAAATATGAACAGCTGTGGGGCCCTGGGTCTGATCTTCAGCACTGAAGAAATAGCCTCCCCCGACCAACTGCCTCCCCCGCAAAAAAACCCTGATCTGAAGGATCAAGTTGGGAGATGTTTAAAATAGGTCTAGTTATTTCTCCTTTCTCCTGCTCTCAGTTCTGCTCCAAGATTAGAATGAGACATTATTAGAACATAAACAGAATGGAAAGGTGGAGAGGCATTATAAAATTAATTAAATATTGTCTCTGAATTATCTCCAAAATGCCTCTCCTACCTTCAAGTCCACAGTTCAGAACAAGAGACTACCCTGATATGAGTTTGTTCAAAGTCAAACTATCTAGGAATTTTTGTGGAATTGCTAGTTTTGGATCTAGCTTGATTCAATGGTCATTAATTCATCTGACTGGTAGTTTTTAACTTTGAAAAGTCAAATACGTACAACCGTGAGGTCCTGGGTTTGATCTGCGTTACTCTACAGTCCTCAGATACACGAGGACTAAGTATCTAAGGCAACTTACTTAGATATCAAACTTTCCACACGACTGCCTACTGATAAGCATGGAGCTACGGTCTTGCTAAGATCTCTAAGTACTATTTGAGGTATGATATATTTCCGGGTGTGTCTCTCCTAGAGAAAAAGAAAACTGTAACACCCTAAGTCTATTGTCTGATATAGACCACAAAGAAAGGCTAATACTCAGAATTTCCAATACCCAGCCACTCACTCCAGATGAAGCCAGGCCCACCTCTGACAAAGCACATCCACTCCACACTGCAGCATGAAGCACACTGCAACAAAGTCACAACATTTTGGTTTCCTAGGGCTAAATTTAATTTTAATTAAAATTTCAATCACACTAAAATATAATGTATTAAGTGTGCAATAGCACTGTCAAAAATAACAATGCACAGTTTTATTTTAAAATATTTTATTGGGGCTGGAGTGATAGCATAGCGGGTAGGGCGTTTGCCTTGCACGCGACTGACCCGGGTTTGATTCCCAGCATCTCATATGGTCCCCTGAGCATCGCTAGGGGTAATTCCTGAGTGCAGAGCCAGTAGTAACCCCTGTGCATCGCCAGGCATGACCCAAAAAAAACAATTTTACTGGACCAGAGAGACAGTACAGGAGTTACTTAGGCACTTGCCTTGTATGCAGTCAACCCTGATATGATCCCTGGTACTGCCAGAAGTGATCCCTGAGCAGCACTGAGTATCACCCCAAAACAAAAATAAATAAAAATACTCTATCACTGGAACGACAGCACAGCACAGCACAGCAGGAAGGGCATTTGCCTTGCACATGGCCAACCCAGGTTTGATTCCCAGCATCCCATATGGTCCCCCAAGCACCGCCAGGAGTAATTCCTGAGTGCAAAGCCAGGTGTGACCCAAAAATAAAAAATAAATGCTCTATTGCTAAAAAAAAAAAGCTAATCATCATCTGAGCTATTCAAATAATGAAGCCAGACAAATGACATCATCAAGCAGGCTGCCACAAACCTTCAATTCGTTTAAAAAAAAAAAGGCACATTTTCCCTACAGTATAATAAAATTAGTAATGACAATGTAATACTACTCTATTTATAAAGATTTTTTAAAAAATCTATTATTTGCAACATCATGGATGGAACAAAGAGGTAATATTCTTAGTAAAATAAGTCAAAGACAAATACAATATGATTTCACCCATATATGTAGATCAACAAATGAAGAAAACAAACATAATTTTGATTTATATGGCTGTGTACCTGAAACCTATATAATACAATAAATGCTACTTTAATTAAAAATAAGGGGAAACGCTATTTCACAGCTTTTAGAATTGAGCATGGATTTTCTTCTTTAGATTCAACATATACATCATCACCAAAACAAGGAAAAAATAATTAGCCTATGATATTTTTGGAAATATAATTGGACCAATACTTAAAGATAAATGTGTGGAAAATAAATAATAAAATATAAATTTATTAACTAAATCTCATCTGAAAAATAGAGTAAGATTATTATAAATGACATCTTTAGAAAAATTGTACTGGTGGGGCCTGAAAGATTGTACAACGGGTAAGGTCTTGTCCTGCACGCAGCAGACCCCAGCTCCATCCTTGGCCCCAAATATGATTCTCTGGACAGAGCCAGGCATCCCCCCTAAGTAGATAGAGAGTGATCTGAACAGGGTCAAAGCAATAGCTAATTGGGTAGGAAGCTTGCCTTGAACATGGCTGACCCAGGTTTGATTCCCGGCACCTCCGATGGTTCCTTGAGTACCACCAGGAGTGATCCCTGAGCACAGAGCAAGAATTAAGCCCTCAGCACTGCTGGTGTGTCCCCCAAATAACAACAACAAAGACAAAAGAGCGTATCCCTTAAGCACCGTCGAGCAGGTCCCAACAACTTCCCAAGCTGCTAGAATCCATTTAAGTAGCCTTACAATGTGTTTAAAGTAAAAATCAAAACATTTTTAAATGAGTATCTTGTTGTCATCTTGGGGGCATTACCCAAGGTAAGTTCAGGTGGTCCTAGGGGCTACAGCAGCGGGAACCCTGGCCTACAGCAAGCAAAGCATTCACATCTCTCTCCACCCGTTTTAAAATAATTTTTAATAAATCCTAAAAGGCATGTCTAACAAACTCGATTCAATAAAACTGGACTTCCTGCTTACCTCATACAAGATAATGTTCTGCATTAGAAATGCAAATATGAATAAGACATCCATCCAACAGAAGTTTAAGACTAATAAGTCAGAGGTTTTTAAACACAAGTTTAACAATATATAACTTTCCTACCCGGTACGAATTTTTTTTTGCTGGGGGGTGGGGGTGGGGGAAGTTATCAAAGTACAAATATTCTAGTAAAATATTAACATTTTTAAAAATAAATTTTAAAAAATTACTAACACTACATCATAATCCGTGAGGCCCAAACATTTGATTTGATCATTTGTAGGTTTCACATGGATTACAGCAATGACATATTTGACTTAAAATACAATAGTAACCAATTTTACAGTACTGAGAGCAAGTCTGATTGCTCTCATAGAGAGCAAAAACTAAACCATAGTTTACTAGCTCTAAAAGCAACACAGGTGGGCATACCTCCTTGTAGTCTTTAAAAAAAAAATTCAGAATCTTCAGGAAACAATGCAATTTTATCATTAGAAAGAGCTACCTAACACATGTGGGAAAAAAATAATAAAGTGATAAAGATCCTAAAATGTTCCCTTTTTGTATCCAACTGCAACTTTGGAGTATTCTCTTTAGATTTCTGGGGATTTTGAGGAAGGGAATTTGAAAATATCACTGTTGACCACAACTGAAATCAGTATATGAATATGTAACATTCTACGAGTTGGTGGGGTTTTGCCTGCAGGCTGGCCGTCAGCAATCAGACAGAGCAGCTGCAGGAGGCAGGGGAAATATAGTGTCCCTTCCAAACAAACAACAAAGGAGAAAAATCTGTTTCCAGGCCAACCCCAAGTGAGCTCAATTATTATCAGGATCTCGAAGAAACTGAACACATGAGCATGTACTGTGCATGTGCTGTATGTGCAGAGACACAGCTACAGTCTTTACAAGTAACATTACTGAATCCTAATTAGGGAGACGATGCTCCCAAGTGGTGCTCCCCACGGCACCGGAGACCCACCAAGGCCTTCGTAGGTGTACTCCAGTCCTTTGTACTATCTCCTGGTCTCTTAAATCACACCTAAGATTCTATGTGTAATCTATGTATTACACATGAAATATTTGTTTCAGATTTATCAAGACTTAAAGATATTGTATCTACAATACCATATCTACAGAATTAAGTCCACTTCCCCTCAAGTGTACAATGACGGTGACACTGCTTAGGGAAAACTGTCCTCACCTTCCACCGAGGTTTACAGTCTTTAGGCCTCCAGTGTCCTCCTGGTTCAATATCTAAATCCTTGGAGAAGAGTTGATGAATTTCATCAAAACTTACTTCACTTACGTTGACATTGAGGAATCCCCCTAGGAGGTCAAAAAAGCCAAGAACTGTTATACATTTGCTTTAAAGATAAAAACAGTAACAATTAATTAGCTGATGGCATAAGCAGTTTTCAGGACCACACATTCACTTTCATCAAGCAATTCTTAATACCATCCCCTTCACTTTTGGTTTGGGTGATAAATTGCCTGGTTGGCCAGCTAAAGAAAATCAAATCATCTAAACCTTGTGTTTTCAATATATTGAATACTTAAATGTTTGTTAGGAAATGTTTGTATATTATTATAATTTTGCATACCACTGTAATTAAACAACCATTCAGGTGTTTTCAAACATTTTAATTTCAACAAACTTTTTAATAATCAACAAAAGGATAATAGGGTATATAAGAGGTATTAAGTAGTTTGTTAGACTCAGAGCTAAAGTGTACACTTTTCAACAAAATAGGAGACTAACACCCAAGAATGGCCGAGATTAGTACCAGGAATTTTGCTCCATGGCTTGGAGGCCAGATACACATGCTAGGGGAAAAGGAAGCTCGGAGAGAGAAGGGAGCACCAAATAAAGAGTGTTGGGAGGATACTCCCAGGATGGGAGAAGCATGCTGAAAGTAGACTATAGACCAAACATGACTGACACTCAATGCCTCTTTTGCAAACCACAACACCCAAAAGGAGAGAGAGAACAAAAGGGTATACCCTGCCACAGAGGCAGGGTGGGATGGGGGGTGGGAGGGATACTGGGATCCGTGGTGGTAGGAAATGGGCACTGGTGGAGGGATGGATATTTGATCATTGTATAACTGAAACCCAAGCACAAAAATTTGTAAGTCTACAACTCATGGTGTATCATCACTAATAAAAATTTAAAAAATAAATAAAGTCTACACTTTTCTAGTGAATTATTTTTCATCTCTAAGCCTCAGTTTTCTCTATTGCTAAAGGACAGGCTAATACTGCCCCCCTCCCAACATGGTTCTGTCTGAAATATAAACAGTACATAGGGATGATAGGTCAATTTTAATACCAATCACAAAGTATACATGCTATAAACACCACCCATGTTGGACAACAAAACTTTGAGAGAATTTGCAGATACCGTCCAACAATTTATTCTGAAGACCCTACGTATCCCCTTAACATGCAGAACTACAATACCAAAGACTTCTATTAGGCACTCTCTCTCTAAATATTATGTATTACTAAAGGTGTCATTAGCAGTTTTTCTTACACCATAAAAATACAAATAAATCTTGGATGAAAAAACACTTCCAGTAACTTAATCAAGGATAGAACCAAGAAAAGAACTAAATCCTTTCTAACTATTATCTTGTAAAATTAAAAATAACGAATATTGAGGTTTCACAATTCACATATTCTGGTCTCAACTGGCCATACATTTATTTCTTCTCAAGAACCCCTAAAGTCTGGGGGCTGGAGCGATGGCACAGCGGGTAGGGCGTTTGCCTTGCACACGGCCAACCTGGGTTCAATTCCAAGCATCCCATATGGTCCCCCGAGCACCGCAAGGAATCATACCTGGGTGCATGAACCAGGAGTAACCCCTGTGCATCTCCAGGTGTGCATGAACCAGGAGTAACCCCTGTGCATCTCCAGGTGTGACCCAAAAAGCAAAAAAGAAAGAAAAAAGAACCCCTAAAATCTCACTGTTACATTCCAGAATAGAGGACTCCTCAGACACCTCTCTCTCCATCCGTCTCTCCTCCTAAGTAGGCAGAAACATGGGTCTCTTTCCATGAGACAGAAGCTAGAGTGAAACATTTCAAGTGCAAATGCCTGAGTATTCATCAAATAACTTGAGATAAAACAAATCTGCAATGTTCCAATGTCTGCCTATTGAGCTGACAATGCTTACAATCTTTTATAACCAAATATTCTCCCTTTGTGTGACAATATATGTGAACGAGCTGTCAATCTAAAGAAGTTTAGATTTATCAAGAGAGCGACCTATAAACTTACACAGAAAGGGTAGATCAAATGTAGGACGGATTAGTAAACACAAGTACGCCCTATCATGGCTCTGCTGTAAGAAACCAAACCTAGCACTGGAATGAAATAAAACTCACACAAAACTGATGCATTTAAGGCTATACATGATTACTAAAATGATAGTAATTAGGCTAAATAATAAGCAGTTCATATAACTGAAGTTAGTATTCTTTATGCATCGCTAAACCAGATTTTATAGCTTTTTCCAGCTTGACTGCTTCAACAACTGTAATCACTATTCTCAGCAGTTTTCTCTAGTGTCATTTGCAGTTTGATTTTCAAACGCAGGCAAAGAGACAGTCCTTGTATCTATCTCCTCAATGGTCAGATCTCCTGTGTCTCACTGACTACTCCCAAGGCCCCAGGCACCTCAAGTTGACCTCTCTCCAGGTTGCCTCTCCCCCATCCACATGGTCCCTTAGCCATATTTCTGTGTTTATAGCTCTGCTCCGAAGGCTTAATGCTGCTGAAATTCAAAGATACCTGAGTGGCCAGGAGTATGAACAGAATCATTACTTGGTGAAGGGAAAAGGGAGAGGTAAGAGGGAAACATTAAAGAGTGATGGAGAAGGAGAAAAAGTAAACACTGACCATGGGGGTGGGCTGAGGTGGGGTTAAGGAGAAGACCTTGTACATGTGAAGAAAAGGGAAATAGGTATGTTCTAGAGGACAGGCAAAAAGCAACACAAGACAGAGAAATTAGAGCAAATGTGTCTTCCAAACTGTCCGCAGTAGAAACTCAAGGTGTGGACCCCAAACCATAATATGTACACAAGTGTGCATATGAATATATTTCTTAAAACAATGCCCAATTCTTACAGATTATATTTATATTTTTATTTCAAGTAATATTTAAAGCATAAATTTTAATATTACTTAAATATTTCAAGTAATATTTAAAGCATAACGCTTTAAAGCTAGAGATTCTGATCTCTAGCATAAAGCTAGAGATTCTGATCTCTAGCCAGAAATTTTTTTATAAATCCCCAGTTGAAAATAGCTTCAATCAGTTTGAGACCTACATCTAATTTTTTTATATTCTAAATCCCAATTCTGGTCCTTTGGCTTGTGCTGTTGCTTTACCCTCAGAGTTCTAAATGGGCAGAAAGACCTGAATTTCCGTAGAAATAACCCTTCAGGGTCAGAGACAGTAATAGGAGAGTAGGAATCAGCCTTATTTGAAAGTGCTTTGGATGACTCAGACACCACATATGGTCCCCTGAACACGGAACCATGAAGAGCCACTGAGCACCACTGGGTGTGGCCTTCCCCTTCTCCACAATCCCCTCCTCCCCCCAAGAAAGAAATAGCCCTTCGGGTGTATTAATACCCAAAGTCACAATACTATTTTAATGATCAGAGGGCACATCCCTGCCCAACCTCAGGGCATGTGCCCCACACCTGCTGGCCCCTAGGAAGCCAATACTGGACGCTGCACATTCCCAAGGCTTGACTTAGGTTTCTCGTCTTCTAGAATTCTATAACCTCTGCTCACGTAAATGACTTCTTACTTGACTATTCTTGAAGTGACCAACTCCAAAATTCTGCATATCAAGTGATATAGTCACTTGTAGTCACACATCCAGATGAAGCAAGAAAAGGGAAGGACAAGAAGGCAGACTGCAGTCCTGCCTCGCCCTTCTCTCTGCATCCTTTCCACATGTATTGACCCATTGGCTCCAACAAGGTTGAAAATATTCCTTAAGGTCATTTATGCACAGATACCCCACATGAAGGTGACCTAAGACATCAGCCAAAATACAACACAAACCCTTGTTTCCTATCCTTCCCATACTGCACAGTTCATAATACACATCCAAGTGCCTTCCTTCCTCAAGGTTCCCTCTAGCTTTACTCAAAAAGATTCACTTATAACCTTCATCTAATAGTCTTTGAAATGCCTTGTGAATCCACCCCTGGGGCGTCATACCTTTTCATCATCTCTCTCCCAACTGTTTCCCTTGACCCTGACTGTAGGATAACACTTCCTGCATAGCCTCAGGTAGTTTAAGTTTATTGGGTTGCTCCCATGACAGGACTCTCATTCCTCTGTGTTTATTTGTAACTTCTTTCTTTGTGCTCTGTTGACTTGTAAATATTGTTTTTCTCTTCTCCCTAAGTCTTTTGCATAGTTTATTCTGAGCAATATCCTTTTTGTATGGACACAAGAGGACAGTATATGCTATGCTTTTGTAATGTGACTCTCCATGATATTTTCCTCCTGGGCATCTGTTCTCTCACCTAAGCCTCAGCAGACCTTACTTCCTAGCACCCTTAAAAGCAAGGTCCCGAGACGAGAGACTGGATGGAACCAAGGCAAGCAGTAAGCTATGTGCTACCCTGGCATCGAGATGGGCCTAGCCAAAGTGCCATAATGCTTAAATATAAGTTAAGAGCTTGGTCATGGACAAATGCTGTCATGATCCAAAAAGTAGTAACTAGATTCGGACCCTGCTAGGTTAAGAAAGATTAATCTGGTCTGAGCTCTGTAGTCTGAGTCTGTGGCAAGATGTTCCCAGGAGAGCTGCCCTACAAGCCTCAATGTATTTCTTACTGTGTCCATACAAAAATAACTAGTATTAAGATGTTGATAGAGTTACTGGACTGAGAAAAGGAGAAAAACACCTTATGAGGTATTCTGCCTGAGGTAGTCAGGAAAGGCTTGGAATACCTCGTAGGTGGTGTTCGCTTTGAATTTGGTGGGCCCTCCAGAAGGGCTTTCTTATGTTCATTTGGCTACCAGACTGGGTGCAGTGTCAGCCCAGAGTTCTGGGGAGTTGGAGAGACAAGAGAGCTGGGGAGAGAGTGAGAAAGAGCTGGGCAGCAAGATGGACCATGGAGAGACTAGCAAGGGGGACAGAGAGAGAGAAGAATGTAGAGGAAGAATACAGGAGCAAGCATGTGGAGAGAGAGCCCAGGTTGCGAGATGGAGCGTGAAGAGATGAGCGGGAGAGACAGAAGGAGACAGGAACGAGGGCAGTGTGAGACTAGAATGGGAGGCTCAGAGAGACTGG